ATAAAATATTAAAACATTAAAATTAATTGAAAGACAAATAAATATATACCGTAAAACCTCGAATAGAAGCACTGGGCTTCCTTTTTAGGATCCTTGAATGGGCTTCTTTTTGCGATGGGCTTCTTTTGAGATTATTTTGCAAACTAAAGAAGAAGGCTTCTTTTCAAAATGAATGCTGAAAATTTTGGAATTGCTACTATAATCTATTTCAAATATTAATTTTTTTTAAATACTTTTATCATGCTAGTACAATGAAATAATATTGATACTGACACGCTATCATAACAAACAAAGATAACGTTAGTTGTAACATAGAGGAAATAGAACTATCTCGAAAGAAGCCCATTATATCCTGATGGGCTTCTTTTCGATATTACCTTTGCAAACCAAAGAGGGGGGGGGGGCGGATTTTGAGGCGGAATTAAATTACAAGTGAAATTATTAAGTGTCGTCTAATTTGTATTATGTATTAAAGTTTTTTTTTTCTTTGAAAGGACTCTACTCCTCCACTTATTTTCCAGTCGTCTGACAGTAAACTATTCTTCAGAAATTGGGACAGTGGTTTGGATCATTATTACTTTGAGTCCGTTACAAATCCAGGTTAGTACTGCCAAAAATAAACTAAACAAATTTTTGTTATTTTATGTTTATACCTTCGGCCCCTGGACGCTTTGGCTTAAATGGCTGCAAAGATATTATCTTAACATTTTTAGAGTTTTCATTTGTGCCATCTAAGACCAAAATAGCTCAATGTGTTTCGTAAAGGTTTAATAAGAATGATCCACCGATGTCCGTCAAAGTACCATTGATCACTAAATATTTACTCTGTATAGAACCTTGTATTTTTGACGTACTGTATGGGTCATTTTTAAATTCCAAAATCAATGGCCTACAATTTAACTATGATGTAATTTTTTATCTCCATGAAGGTCACTATTTGGCTTACAACCGCGTGAATGATGACGTCAAATTACTCCAGTTATCAGCTTCGAGTCTTCAAAACAAAACTGGAAACGCTCTCGATGCCTTCTTCAGACATGTTCCCCTCAACTAATGGATAATCAGCAGATAATGGACTTTTCTCATAAAACCCGCACCTTTAATACTGTTGATACATACGATTATTCCTATGTATTTAATGACACGTTCTGACATTGACATTTCATAAAGATCCATTGTGACGGTGAAACTTTATAAGATTAATTAAAATGTATTAAAATAAATCAATGCTACATTGCCTGTTTTGATAAGCGTAACTATAAAAAAAAATACATATTGTAGGCCTAATTTTTAAAAATCTTATTTATGCAAAAAACATTACTGATGCTTATGTAATTAAAAAAGAATAAATGATAACTTATTACATAAATATTACTACCTATAGTATACTAAGTATTTATTTATATTTGTGCAATCTTGAGCTGTGGAAAAATGTGATCGAAGTTCCGCATAATATACAACTTATTTATACAAAATGTTTGCCTATCTATTTATGAAACATTACAATACAGCTATTTATACTTCATTGATTAGTAAATGTTATTATTAATCTCTGCTGTGAAACTATTTAATATTTATACTGTATATTTATATTTAATACTATGCCTTGTTTAATACTGAATTTTACACGCGGTGATTTATTTAATGTAGGCCCATATCATGTTCAGGGTATTTATTATTGTTATTTATAACAGCTCTTATGCCAAGTTGTTTGATAAGTACAAAAGAAACCAAATAAACTTTAAAGTCAATTTTAAACACATAATTACTATAGTAATTGTAATATTCTGCTTATCAACTTAAAAATAGTACATAGTGTGTAATTGTTCAAAGCAATGCAATTCTAAACTATTAATAAATTGGCTAGATGCAGTTTTACACATGTGTGCGTATTTTCATTGAGTAGATTGTCAATGTCACTGATTCGCTACCACTACTAGTAGTGGTACTAAAGCGTGGTCCAACATTTGCTACACTGTTGCTGCATTTTGTTTTTTCCACGCAATCAGGAACGCTCCCTGATTCGCCTGCAACCTGGTTTCCATAGAATCGCTACAAAGTCGCTACAGTGTTTGCACTGCGTAGCTTCCCTGACCATGGCCAATCAGCGTCGCCGAAAGAGTCGGCGATAGCGTGTGGCGAATTTTATGGAAACCAAGTTTAATGGGGTAAGGGCACCACGAATGGACTAAAGCATTTACGTTTTTGCCTTACCAAAGTTATTACGACTGCAGTTCCTCCTATTATTTTGTGGAGCACACTGAACTTTGTACTAATGTTAGTAGCCTATATGCCAATACTATACATTAAAACCGTATTAATATGTAATAGGGCGTAGGGAGTTTTAGGAAACGAACGAAAACGATAACGAATTCGGTTACGTTATAATTGTTTAAGTCAATCCATGCCATATAGTAACATATCTGTCACAACCTATAGGCCATCCATGCCTTTTACATGAATCAACGATCATATTCAGATTCGTATGTATTGTTTTAGGCACGAATGACGATAATGAAGATCAGTGGCGTAGAAAAGTATTTTTCATTGGCGCAGGGGTGGAGCAGGGGACAGGGGGAAAACCACCCCTCCCCTGACGGTTTTTACTGGGCTGACCAAGCCGTCGTACCAGGCTGGGTAATAAGAGAAAAGAAAGAGGTGAGTGTGCCCGCCAATGTGTGCCCTTGTGCGGACAGGGGATGTGCCCCCCTCTGAAGCTGGAAACATTGTTTTTGCAAAATAAATTGATGTAATTTGCTATTATAGGCCTAATCAATAAATTCCTCATCAACCGATATAACCTTAAACATTCTTGGAATTGACATTAACATTACTGATGTCGTACACACCCTTCAGGGTGAAATGTGGCTCTCTTTGCCAGCACATCTAACATCTAAGGAAAGAAGAGCTTAGATTAGTACCAGATAAAATAATTTTGTTATCAACATTAAAACATTATGCTAATTTTCATCTTTGTAAGCGCATAAGACAGTGCAAATTATTTCTGTGACAGTCTTTTGAAGTGTGTAAAGCTCCATTTTATCCCATACACAGTCAAAATATTGGTGGGGGAGGGGGATGATACAATGGACCATCCCCCTTGTCAAATATTGGGGGATATATCCCCAATCCCCGCGAGATATACGCCTATGATGAAGATGACGTACTCGTATTCATTATCGTTTTCGTAAGGTTGCGAAATCTCCATATTGTCTAAATCAGAACTAGTGACTGTGTATAAGGGGTATATTCGACCAGCCTTGGAGTATGCGGTTGCCGTTTGGAATGGAGGGATCACCGGATTGCAGGTGGGTCGCCTTGAGGGAATACAGAAGAGAGTATGCCACTCCTTGCTGGGCGAGCAATATAACCTATGAGGATGCCCTTGTTGCTCTCGGGTTTGAGAGTCTCAGTGACCGCCGAGCCAACTTATGCCTCAGGTTTGCAAAAAAAGCCACCGTAAGTGTACATTGGTTCCAAGGGCGTCGATCCGTGGCTGAAGGTGGGGGGAACGAGATGAAAAATAAAGTATTGGGCCGTAGGCCCAAGCAATGTTTAAGGACCAGAGGGCGAAGCCCCGGAAGCTCTGGCGCATATAGCCTTTTAATTGATTTTAAGCAATGCAATTAACATTTATATCCATACGAAATTTTTAAAATATCAAGTGACGGATCCAGTAATTTGAAATAGACTGGGCCCAGAGAGGTACTTTGACAGATGGAGAGTGTAGCTGGACTAACACCTCAGCCCCACCATGGTTGGGGCTAAGGTAAGAAAATTTATGATTATGGCACCTCCAGTTGGTCGGAAATGGCACTCTCAGACTGAATTTGAATATAATTTCAATTTTTCTCCACTTTTAAATTTCGAAAAAAAAAAAGATGGTGGGCTGGCTGGGCCCCTTGAATCTGCCACCGAAATACTCATCATAAAAAGTTTTTAAAATTATGCTTTTTAGTCATAATTATGCCCGCTTATATATTTCGTGCAAACTAACATTCATAAAAATAATGATTTATTATCTACTGATTAGCTTGTAACGTATTCAAAATTCGAACTATGAAAAACAAATAAGATAAACTTAAAACAGTCATTAATTTAGTATTTTTGCATGTACAATACTTTTAAAGGCAATCAAGAGGTTTTGCTTTTCTCCTCTTTTTGAATTTCACTTTTGTGTAAGTAATATTGCGATAAATCATTGTGAATGGAAATAATACCGTCTAATTTACGATCAAACAGGACTAGGGAGATAGTGAGCACACAAAACATTAGTTAGCATTTTGATTTCGCAAAAATAAAGGTGATTTACTTAATTTATCAATATCAGTGGCGGCTCATGGAAGGCAAATTAGAGGGGGACAGGGAGGGACTTGCACGTTGGAAAAGTAGATCACCTCAGCCCCCCCCCCCCCAATGGTTGGGGCTGAGGAAAGAAAATTTATGATTATGACACCTTTAGATTGCCGGAAATGGCACTCTCAGACCTAAGTTCTAATTCTAATTTTCCATTTTTAAAAAATAATTTTGAAAATTTGAATCTGCCACTGATTATTATGGCGTCATTGCTAGACTGCGTCAACGTAACACTGGAGTTTTTTGTAAACTTTTGGAAGGCTTATCACTTAATCGAAATAGGTAGACATCATATCCGTGAAATTAGAAAAAACAGTAATCCTATGTATGTAGATAAT